AAAAAAAGACCACGAAGATACGCTGTAATGACTTCACAGACAAAAAAAAGAAAAATTTTTTTTTCTCAATTTCTTTTGGAAAATTATTCAATAGGCTAATGGGCAAAACAAAAACAAAAAAAAAAAGGTTTTTAATTTTAAAAACCTATATAGATAGCGGGTAGAAACAAAATGAAAATAGCAGAAGAAGCAAAAAAAAAAACACCAGCAAAATGGCGATGAAGTCGACCAAAAATAGACAACTGAGCTTCATTGGAGTGGCAGTTGATTGCCGACACTTTTCATTCAAATACTTCCCCACTTTAGGCTTCCTTCAACAACAGCAACAACAACAGAAGAAGAAGAAAAATTCTTCTCTACTTTTGCACAAATACAGATGATGCTGATATTCACGGTTCAAGAAATGAAATTTGGAAAAAATACACTTTATTTTTTTGCTTTCATTTTCAAGTTTATTTTTTTTTTCTGCTTACAAGAAGGGAAAAATTGCCCTTTTTTTTTGGCTTAACAACAACAGTAAATAGTATACACTTCTATTCATCAGTTTTCACTAAACCGTTGGTTGTCGGAACTGAAACAGGTGAAAAAATTGTTAAAAAAAAAGAAAAAAACCGATAACACCCACTTCATTTTCTACTTTTTTCTTTTTTTTTTTGTTGATCTACCAACTTCTTTTTTTCTTCTTTTTTTTTCTGCTTAATTGCAATGACATTATCGTCAATAACGACAACCTGAAGTGCACTCTCGTTTCCTGCTACAGACAATGTACAAATAAATGATCAAAAAAAAAAAAAGCAGAAAAAAAAAAGAATTAGCAAGATTATGACAACAAAAATAAAAGAAAAAATTGAAAATACAGACTAGTTTTTTCTTTTATTTGCTAGAACAGAGAGACAGGCAAATTTGATGACAAAAATTTAAAAAACAAAAAATTGATAAGTCTAAGTTAAGATTCTGCATTTTGATGGCTGTAAACGGTAATATTGAAGGAAAGTGGACAAACAGAACGCTGTGAATATCGGTGATTTAATTACAACTCTGCTAAGCTTTATCACTCATTGGTCACCAACTTTAATGACCCATTGACCAAATATTATAAGCTGTCTGTACAGTTAGCTATCAGCAAAATCAAAAATCTGTTATTTTAACAAGTGTAGTTTAAGTGCTACAAAAAGTAGCACTTTTAGCTGTTGTTCATCAAATATTAATTGTCACGAAGGAAGAAAAAAAGAATGAAACAACAAATAAAAACTGGATAAACAAGCAAATTTTTGGCAAAGTTTTCATTTTTTTTTCACTTTAGACAAGTGAAGAAAACTGAAGGTTAGAAGGCATAAAGATTATAGAACCTAGGAAAGAATGAAAAATATAGAGGGTTGAGCGAGAACGGGAAAGGAGAAGAGTAAGGAAGAATAGTCTAAATTAAATTTTATGCTCTTTAGTCGTTTTTCAACTGTTTAGGTCATCATATCGGATACAACGTTATCCGAGGATGTGCTTCATCGGTATTCAGACACGGTCGTGTACCACTTGGTCAAACCGGACAAGTTAAAGTTGGTATGTTTAACAGCAAAACAAAACAAAACAAAAAAAAAAGCTTGTTTTAACATTTTACTGTTGTTTTTATAAGTTTTC